GTGGTCGTGATCCAAGAAGTAATAGCGAAGAATATTTTCACCGCATACTTCGGACAATGAAAGTACAGAAAATGTACTGTATAACGAAGCGTTTGATCGATGTAGAAATATAATCCTTAGATCCCTGTATTGGAACTTCGCCACTTCAGTCGAGAAGATCTAGTCCTTCGCGGAGAGGCTACTCTGTTTGTAAAAATAGGAGAGCGCTCTAGGCATACCAAGGATATAAGAATTTCAATATTGTTAAGGATAAATCCGCGCACGTCGGAATCCTTGGAAGGACTGCCATGAATCATGCAAATTTAATCATCTGCCCTTATCAATCTCATGTGAGGTATTCTATGAATAAAGGCAAAATGTCCTTAAAGAATAATTAAGAAATCTTGTATAGGAAACATGAAAGTAACAGAAAAGGAGACATGAGAGCTCCTAAGAATATCATTGCCACAGTTGAAATGAGTAATTATGGGGATAAAGTGAAGATTGAAGATTCTATTGACCCCCGCATGACCGATTGCAAGTCAAAAGCGACTGCGGGTGAAAAGTTTGGAAGTTTTTCCATTAGCTCAGAAGATAAGAGCAAAGCTCTAAAATTGACAAGGAATTGAGCAAACTTATGAAAGGATTGCTAAAAAACTTTCTAGTCGCGAACCTGGATTTGTTCGCCTAGAAGCATGCTGACATGGTGGGATAGATCCCAAAGTTGCCTATAACGCATTAAAAATCGAGCCAAAAATCAAACTCAAGATGCAAAGTCATCGATCAATGAGCACAAAAAAGTATGAAGCATTAAAAAATAAGGTAAATAAACTATTAGAGAATAGTTTTATCCTCGAAACTCAATACCACGTGTATGTATGTAATTATATCCTAGTACCAAAAAGAAATGGAAAATGGCGAACGTGCAAATATTTCACGAAATTGAATAAAGCTTGTCCTAAAAATAGCTTATCGCTCCCCAAAATTGATCGACTGATGGATGCAACTGCGGGCCATGAGTTGCTAAGTTTATGGATGCGTGTTCGAGATATAATCAGATCCCTATGTATAGACCCGACAAGAAACATACCGCATTCGTAATAGATTGGGAACTATACTGTTATAAGGTAATGTTGTTTGGACTCAAAAATGTTGATGCTACGTACCAAAGGCTGGTGAACAAAATGTTCATAGAACAAATAGGAAAAACTATGAAAGTATACATTGATGACATGCTTGTGAAAAGTTTTCATGCTAAAGATAATTTAAATCATCTGGAAGAGGCTTTCAACATATTGTAAAAATACATGATGAAACTCAATCCACTCAAAGCACGCTCAGATTTAAATCTGGAAAGTTTCTTGACTATATGGTCAATCAGCAAGATATTGAAACGAACCCTGACAAGATTTAGGCCCTCATAAAAATTTTATCCCCATCTAAACCAAAAGAGGTACAAAGCATAACAGGAAAGGTTGCAATCTTGAGTAGCTTCATATCACAAGCAATAGACAAATGCTCTATTTTCTTGAAAGTATTGAAAGGAGAAAAGAAGTTCGAATGGAGTAGCGAGTAAGAGCAAGCATTCTAAGTTTTAAAAGATCATCTAGAGAAAGCACCCTTACTAGTAAACCTAAAAATGGGGAGAAATTATTGCTATATTTGAAAGTTTATAAGGTGGCGATCAGCTCAGTATTGGTAAAGGAGGAAGAGCAACAACAATTGTCAGCTTACTACGTAAGTAAAGATTTGTAAGGAGTAGAGGGAATATATACGTATATGGAAAAACTTGCCCTTGCCCTAGTTACAGCGCCAAGAAAATTGTGAACCTATTTTCCAAAGTCATACATTGAAATGCTAAGTAATTTCTCACTCAAGCAAGTACCACAAAAACTTGATTCATTAGGAAAGCTAATGAAATGGATAGTAGAGCTGGGACAATTCGAATAAGCTACAAAGGATAGTCTGCAATCAAAGCATAGGCACTGGCTAACGCTGTTGCAGAATTATCAGATATTCCCATTCTTGAGAAAGAGCCCGAGTAGAGGACATGAAAATTATTTGTGGCTGGATCATCTGGAGAAACTGGTTCTAGATCAGCCTTAATCCTGATAAGCCCGAAAGGGCACAAATTGAATCCTGCATTCAGGTTCGTGTCTAAAGTAATCGACAATGGGGTTGAATATTTCAACAAGTTTGAACTTACCCAAATTCCTATAGAGGAAAATGAGCATGCAGACATCTTGTCAAAATTGGCAAGTTCAAAAGACACAACTATTTAAAATAATACCTGTAGAATTGATGTCAAAATCGTCGATAGGCCAAAAAAATGGAGGAAATATTATGGATACGAGATAAGACCTCGTGGATGCAAGACATCATTTTTATCTGAAAAAATGGGGTTCTCTCTCAAGATAAAAATGCAGCGCAAAAACTGTGAATGAAAACTGCAAGATACACACTACAAGGTGATACACTTTTATATGGTTTTATTAAGTGAGGGTATACACTTTCTCTGCTTTGATGCATAGATGAAGACGAGGCCATATATGTAATGAAAGAAATCCATGAGGGTATATATGGAAACCATGCTAGTGGACATTCTCTTGCAAAAAAAGGCTTCGAAACAAGGTTACTATTTGCCAAATATGAGGAAAGAAACAATGAATTTTGTCAGAAAATGTGAAAAATGTCAAAAGTTCGCATATATTCATTGACAGCCCCGTACAAGAATCGGTAACTAGTAGCGGCCCTTGGCTCTCGCCAAATGGAAATTTGACTTTGCCCGACCATTACCCAAGGAAAGATCCAATATGAGATTCATAGTCGTGGCGTTACATTATTTCACCAAGTAGATAGAAGCCGAACCCCCTGCGAATATCATTGAGGCTAACACTTGCAAATTAATATGAAAAAACATCATCTACTGATTCGAAGTACCAAACTCTATCATTTCAAACAATGGCACACAATTTCAAGTGAAAAAGGATGAAAGCAATATGCGAAGAGCTAGGTGTCGAGAGACATTTTTCCACCCCATATTATCTCCAAGCCAATGGACAAGTAGAAACTGTCAATAAAACGTTTTAAAAATTAGGAAAATGAAGTTAGATACGGTAAAGAAGTTATGGGCTAACGAACTCTCACAAATCCTATGGTCATACCGTACCACAACAGGAGAAACTCTTTTCTCCCTAGCATATGGAATGGAAGCTATGGTACCAACAGAAATTGGTGTTGATTCGACAAGAAAAATAGGATATGAAGAGGAACAAAATGAAGAAGCCGTGAAAATAAACCTAGACATCTTAGAAGAAAAGCGGGATGGCTCTCAAGTCAATCTCATTACATACCAATTACCAAAAAATGATGGAAAGATATTTCAACTCCAATGTTCTTAAGAAAGACTTCAAAATAAGGGACTTAGTCTTAAAGAAAGTATTTGTCGTAGACAAATAAATGAGTTCTAATTCGCTTAACTCAAAGTGGGAAGGACCATATACAATAGTCAAAGTTGTGGGATCAAGAACATACAAGCTTGCCGGAAAAATGGCGAACCCGTTAAACATCCTTGGAATGACATGTATATAAGCAAGTATTATCAATAAAGTGAAATTATCTCTTTGATTATGCGAACTCATTGAAGTTAACCGCGAACTTATTTAAGGTTCCATGCTGGAATTCCTGCCTATCAACCTTATTAGATATCTACTGTACAAGCTCAACGACAATGACGAAGCAAAAAGAATGATAAAATGAAAACTCTCATTAATAAAGAGAACTTACAAGGCAAATCACATTTGCGAACTAAATCTATTACATAGTCAAAAGGCATGATCTTCGAACTAAATCTATTACATAACCAAAAGGCATATTCTGCAAAGTAGACTACCTAGCACACCCGTTGTTCCTATAAATGATCCATTTATCCAAAGCAGCTTCTAGAAGTTGCTCGAGAGTTTGTCGGGAAGGAAATGCATTAGGTTTTATCACAAAATCCGAAACTATGTATATCTGTGAAAAATACAAAAACATGGCAAACTTGCCAGCTTTTGAATCATTCTCCATTAGCTTTTAGATTATCTATGCCGAGATCAAAATCGCAAATATGCAACCATGGTATGACAAAAGGAAGATTAGGATAATTCTAAAATCTTGCCCGATTAAATGAAACATTGACATAAGATCTAAAGATGATTTATCATGGAAATATAGTGAAATCAGAAACGAAAGTGAAAAACCGATGTTAGCACTTAAAAGGATTCTGAGGGAGATAACAGACTTCCCACCCTAGAATCTACAAAAAATTAAATGTCAAAATACATATTATGTAATTAAGAAAAAATGAAAGCAAGTGATAACATGGCACACACATATATAGTGTCCCGGAGACCTTATCACAGCTATTGAATCCCAACGGACTTTTTACCTGAAACGTCATGCAATCTTAGCCGTTAAATTTGAAAAGACGCAAAATCAAACGACCGTAAAACAATCATATAGCGCATACGTAGAATAAAGAAACTAAAAAGAACGTTTTCCCAAAGAGTAATGTTATTCATCCCCACTGGGGATGAATACACGGTCTACGTGGCGTCAATGTGGCATTAAATGATATGTGAAATTAAATAAGTCATTTAATCTCACCTTTCATTTAACCTATAATTTAAAACCACATAGACTGTGTTTTCATCCCCACTGGAAATGAATAACATTACTCTTTCTCGAAATCATGCATGAATTAGCATTAAAGGTTAAAAATGTTCCATTTCGTCCACACAATAAATGCCAGTAAGTAATTGGGCCAAGTCATGAGGGAAGTTTGCGGTCCCAAAACATCGAATAGATTGTAATTTAATAAATAATAAAATTAGACTTTGGTAACTATTTGTTGAAATATATTTTGTGAATCTCGCCAATAAAATTAGACTTTGGTATCTTTTAGTTTTAGTTTATTTTTATATAATTTATAGAATATGTAATAATATTTAAAATAAATAATTAATTAAACGAAACTGTAAATGGGGATATTACCTCGAAAATCCACAACGAGGCGGGTCCGGTATTTAATCATTGGTCAGGTCACCTTCCGACCCATGGTCATCCATATGCTTAAGCGTCACATTTTTATGCTATAGCTCGAAACTTGGGAGAAAATTCCATGCATTTGGTCACTCTTACACTAAAATTTAAATGCTAGAACAAATGTTGAAGATGCTTTCTTCTCTTTTTTGATGAGCTTCTTGTTTATTTTTATTTTCATGGCTTTTTGGTACTTCAATACTCATGTCTTTTGGGAATAGACTTTTATTTTCATTTGAGTGCTGCGTTCTTCGTAATTAACATGTTATGTTCTATTCTATTCAGTGTAATGGATGTTTTAGTGCTCTATTAAGGAACTTGAGATTTTCTTTTAGAGTTTCAAAATTTTTTCCTTCCTTTAGAATAATTTTCATCATCACTAGCCTAAGTTGTATAAAAGTTTGAAATTACATTGCTAGAATTCCTGGAGATCCACGAGAGGTAACTTGAAGCTGCCAAAACCTATTAAAACAACATAAAAGAGACAGTTTTTCCTACCTCGGATTAACTAGTCCTTGGAGAAACTGTGCTAAAGACATACCTTAAATATAGTTGTAATAGGCTTCTTATTGGGATATGATCATGTAAATAGTCAGGCCGAGGAGGAAAATTGGCATGGAGATCAATATCGTTGCTGTAAAAACTAATATATAATCAAATATTCTTTTTGCGCAACGGTTGACAAGTGATATCAATTTGCTCATGTGATGTATTTTCTCTCCCTTTTCGTGAGTATTGCTACTATTGTAAAAAAAATCATGTTGAAGTATAAATTTTTTTTTAAAAAAAACAAAATATTAATGAAAACATCGTATAATTGTAGCCTACGCATTTTGATAATTTGAAAACGTTGTATAATTACATCATTATCAATATTGTCAAATGAATTTTGCTACTTATATAGTTTTGTTTACCATCTTGTTGAGAGATGTTGAGCTAGGGATGAGTAAATAAATTGAATGTAGGAAATAAATGAATTGAAATAAAGTTCAAATTTAATGCAAATGTAATTCCAAAGTAGTTCAAATTATATTTAATATGTAACGATTCTAAAATTTATGACGTTATATCCGTGTAAAATTTTTTAATAAAACATGTAAATTATATTGAGAAATTTATGATGTAAAAATAATAAACGTTTATTAAATAATTGAAATTTCTTTTAAAAAAAAGACGAGTTAGACGTCTCTTTTTGAGACGTACGTTTGGCACGTGCTTAACTATTTTTTATATTCGTTTTGAAATTCCATATGACGACAATTAGTTCTTGAAATGAGCTTCTAGATGTATAGGCAATTTGTGGATTTCGCTAGCGTACGATTGTTGACGAATTTTTAAAGTTAGCATATTATCGTAATTCTCAAAATATTAGTTTTGAACGACCTTATTTGACATGTCGTAAATTTTACTATGGTTAACCGTTTCGTGAGCCACTAACAAGCGAAAAATTAGGCCGTGAAACACTTCAAAACGGTATTAAAAATACAATATTTCGATTTCATTTGACTTTATTTTACCTCTCGTAAAAACAACTGCATATTTTCTAAAAAAATAAAATAATAATAATAATAATAATAATTTGTGGGGTCACTTGACTCCACATGCCCATGTGGGTCCACCTATGCTAAAATGGATATTGATTATAATAATGTTCTTTAATATTATTATTATTATTATTATTATTATTATTATTAGAAATATTTTAAGATTTATTTTTAATTTTATAATAATAAGTAATATTATCGAATATTTTTCTATACAACGAGTTCACTATACATATTTCAAATTTGAAAAATAACATCTATTACCTCTTAGAATTTATAAAATATAAATTAAAAGAAAAACATATAATACCAAAATATTCAAATAAATTTAATTATCTTTATACATAAGATTTTTCGCATTTCGATTTCTCAATTTCTTCAATTTTATTTAGCCCCTGTTTGTTATAACTAAAAATAAAAAAATTAGTATATTTTGCTGAAAGTTGACGAAATGTGTGACTGAAAAATTGTGAGCCATGTGATTAAAATTAATTGTTAACTTTAATTTAAATTTTTATTTAGATTAAAATCCACACCAAACATGGTCTTCTTAAAAATATATTAAATAAATTTTTGGGCAACTTACATAAATACCCTTAAAATTAGGAGTTTTTTGACAAATCATATGAAAAGTATTTTGGAAGTAAAAAATACTGTTTAAAATTAAGTGTCACTTTTTATTTAAAAAAAAAGTGACACGATATCACTTTTTAAAATTAAATGTCACTTTTTTATTAAAAAGTAACATACAACTTTTATTAAAAATAGAAAAATTGACAAACAGGGGCTTTCCCTTCACACACCTTCATTCTTTCAATTTCACGGCAGCTTCATTCTCAGTTTCACGGCTTCTTCAAGGAATCAAGAGTCTCTGACTCTCTCACCGGTGGACTACAAGATTTGGGGTAAGATATCAGTTATTTAATTTATGTGTTTGCTTTTGGGTTTTGCATTCTCAATTGAATATTCATCTGTTATACCGAGAAAAGGGACGAGAGCTTTTATTGTGATTGTTTGTTTAGAAAGTTTTTCTTGTGTTTGTGCCTCAGTGCCTGACTGCCTGCCGCCTGGAATTATTGGTGTTTGGTTCGTTCCTCCGTTCCCATGATTGCCAGCCGTATTTCATATTTGTTTCTTCCCTTCGAACAGTTCTTGTGAAATTGCAGTCCTCAAAATCGAAGGTACCAGTACCAACATTTTGATACGGGTCTTTCTCCCAAATTTTTTACGAATTTGGAATTCTGATTTCTCGATTTGATTTTAAATTGTTAACTGTTAGTGATTTGTGGTGTTGGAACTGGGTTTCGATTTGATTTTGAATTGTTAACTGTTAGTGATTTGTGGTGTTGGAACTGGGTTGTTGGAACTGATTTGTGCTTAATTATATTCTAAAATGAGATCGACTACATGAAACTGGTGAATGTGGTGGGAGGTTGGATTTTGGAATTATAGAAGTGGATTAAACAAACTTTATTGTTAACTAGTGAATGTAGGAGGTTGGATTTTGGAATTATGGAATTCGATTAAATAACCTTTACCGTTGAATTTATTGCTCACAGTTTGTTGAAATTGATTAAGTCTTATCTTCGATCAACCATGTCACAAGAGCGATTAAATGGATTAACTATGATTTCTATTTACCATGTCACAAGAACGATTGAATGGATTGGCTATGATTTCTATTGAAAAAAATATGTTGGAAAAACTTGATTTCAGTTTTAAATATTTAAATTTTGCTACGCTTGTGAAAAAATGATTATATTGAAGGGCCTTATAATAATTAGTCGCTTATGGCCTCCAAATTCTTAGGGCCAGTCCTGGAATCAATCGAGACGGTGGTGAGAAGAATTGTAGTAGGTGATGAGGGTCTCTCTTTGGGATTTGTCTGGAATATGAACTATTGATTGGGTTTTGGGTGGTTTTGTAATTCTAGAACGTATTAATTACACTAATTATATGATTTAATTAGTTAATAGGGTATTAATCAAAGGGAACAATACATAAACCAGGTTTTTAGTATGCACCATTTCAAAATTAAAGATAGAGCTTTTAAATTTCAAAAATTTATGATTTAATTAATTAACTAATTATATATTTAATTAATTAAATATATTAATGTTACAGATTTATGCAATTTGGTCACAATTCAAAAATTTTAAGGTCACAATTCAAAAATTTTATAGGTTATAGTTTGTTCATCGATCACAAATTAAAAATTTAAAAGTCACAATTTATTCATCGGTCACAAATTACAAAATTTATAAGTCACACAACTTATTTTATGGTCACAAAATATCAAAATAATAATTTTTAAATAACATATTGTTTATTGGTCACACATTAACCAATTTAATGGTCACAAACAACTAAATAATCTGTGACCACCACCAACCACCAACTTGTGACCACCACCTCATCATTCCCTCCAACAACACCACTGTCACCGTCGCCGCCAGAACCACCACCATCTCTCGACTGCAACACCAATCAAACAAATCAACACATCACAAAAAAAAAAAACCACTGCATCATCGCACTGATCCACCACCACCACCTCGACAATGCCATCGCCACCAACAAAATCATTGCACATAACCACAAAACAACCACCGTCTCCTCTCACAGATCTGCTTTGTTTCTCGCAGATCTCATAGACCACCATGCCCACCACAGATCCACCACCATCCTCACTGTCGTAGTTGCAGCCAGACCCACCGCCTCTGCAACCAAAACCACCCCAAACTACCACTACCACCAACATAAACACCACCAATCCCCAACCACAGCCGCCGCCACCACTATCTCCATCACACCGCAACCACCAAACCTACTAAAAAATTCCCAAACTGCCCCTGCTACCACGATCTCTACAAATCACACAAATCCACCATATCCGCCACATTCGAAACCAAAACACAAATCTCATCTCAAATCTAAACAACTATTTGTCCAAAACCATTCAAAATCACGTTGCAACGTTAGTAGCGTTGCTGTGCAGGGGCAACAAGTGCCACAACGCCACACTGCAGCGCCGCTACAGTAGCGTCTTGTTGTGCAGTCGTGGTAGTGTTTATGTCGAATGGTCTTCTCGAGTGCCGCTGCTGGAGTGTCGTAATGGTGTGTGATAAAGGGAGAGAAGTGAGAGAGAAATGATTAGGGTTTGTGGTGTAATGTGATAGATTAATTCAATTATATAATATAATTATTTTAAATTAAAAAGTTATTATTACCTGATTTTTGTACAAAAAACTTTTAAATCTTATTTTTGAAAATGAAACTTGAAAAATAGTGTTTGGTGTAATTTCCTCTTAATCAAATTAGTTAATTTTTTAGAGCATTGTGCCTAATTTTCCCTAAATTTTTATCAATCCAACAAACCTAAAACCCAGTAGGAACCCATTGTTTGGTGTTTGCTTACAAGCCCGGTAAAGCACATGCCCAATTTAAAGCCTATCATGACCAAGGCCCGTTCATTGATAGAGCAACAAGAGGGACAAGCTCAGAATTTTACTTTGGTTGTTCATCACCCTCTTCGGACCAATTTTGCAACTTGCAGTGATTTCTTCGAAAATAAAACAACTTGGAAGGTAGTATCAGATTTATTTGTGTGAAAACGAGCTTTATATGTTGATCTGATTGTTGTGAATGATATAATTTCATATTGTTTAAAATTGTTATCTCATACTTCCTGTGGATCTATAAGGATGACGGGTTTGAAGAGGAAAGTCAGAGATGAAAACAATCCCAGTAGGGAAAAAGGGAGAGAATTTAAGAACAGGAAGAGAAATCATTCAAGCTCAAGGACGAAGGGAAAGGAGCAAAATAGGCCTCGGCGTGGGCCTCGCTTGCCAAATGCGTTGCAGAAAGAGCTCAATCTCTTAAACCCTGCAGTTGAAAGGGGATTTTCTGATGGTGATGAAGATATTAATTTTGACGATACAGTTGGCAATGATGTGTATGAATACGAAGAAGGCGTTCCGGAGGAGGAATCAAAGAAGAATAAACGGTTTGACCCCGTTGACAACTATGAGTACGAGCTTCCTGAAGATTTTGAGGTCTTACTCTTGTCTATTTTTACTTGACACAAGTGCATGCGTGCGTTTGACTCTTATGTTCAAGTTAATATTGTCTTTTTTTCTAATAAGGTTTTTAATTTTCACACGGCCACTCAATGACATTTGAGGAAAATATATCATAAATAGAATAGATTTTCCTTATTTTCAGATTACTTATCTCTACCCAATCTGAATTATTGGTTGTTTTTAAATCATAGGATGAGAATGTAGCATCAGATGAAGGTGAGGATGATGAAAATGAGGATAATCAGAAAGAGGATGATAATGAGGCAGATGAGGGAAGGCATGCGCGGATGTTGCAAGATATCACTGGACTGCCTGGCTCTGCTTTTGATGGTATTGCATAAGTTTTTTTTGGTTAACTTCTTGGTGTGAGTGATGAAACTAAATTTAAGGATTTATTCCTTGTGAGGGTCTATGGGTTCTAACGCAAGATTTGCCCATTTATTCAGCTGATTGTTCTAGAGTTATTAGGCATCTCGGAGGAAGCCGTTTATTCTGACATTTTTTCTAGGGTTGTGTAAACGGCTTATCTTATACTGGGAGGCATTACCTGTCCTGCACTTCATCCTTGTAGCAAAATGGAAATATTGCTCTCTTTAATTCTTTCCAAATTTCAAAATTATGGTACATTTGCTGAAAACTTTGAAACTTTCTTCATGTATTTGTGGAACTCTTTGCTCTGTAAAATAGCTACTGTGATGACTTAGGAGCGGAAACGGGCCAAATGGTGCATGGTAATCTTATCACTGTACATATCTCTACCTTGTCCTCTTCACATATCCGCAACATCTTCTTAAGTGTGTCTAGTTATCAAATTTCAGAAGGTTTTCTAAATATTTTCTGAAAGAACTAACCTATTACCAATTGCCAGGTAAAAAGAAGAAGAAAGATCTTATCGTGTCTGAACCATATCCAGAATCTGAGTATAATCCTAGTCGTGATATTCTTGATGGAGACGGACGGATTAGCATTCATGACCTTCTGGACCCGCTTCAGGGGAAGTCTGGCTTCAGCAAACTTAGGAAGAACTTCCACCGAATTGAGAATAAGTCTATGCCCATTCACACGCCAATTCCAAAACCAGATCAAGAGAGATTGGAGAGAAAGGCTGCTTATGAACAATCTAAGAAGGATATTACCAAGTGGGAACCTTTGGTCAAGAGAAATAGAGAGGCACCTACTTTATATTTTGACGAGGATGTAGACTTGGGATTTTCAACTGTAGGAGCAATAGCTTCTGAATTTGAACCCA